CTTTTACTTGAAATTAAGATGAGCTCAACAATTATAAACCAAGAGATTCCTTGAGACCCAACTATTATTCTCATATATTAATGAATTATGACATAATTACTAAGTCGCCAAGGTTAACATGGGCGGCAGAAATTTTGGTCGTGTATTCAGACAATTTAACCTGTTAGATATAACGGTCTCGATGCCCTGCTAATTTAGCTACTTGTTGAGCTTACTTCCGATACGAGTGAAAGTGTTTATTGAAGAGATTCGAAGGTCGGCGGATTCCACTCGATCAGCTGTTCATTGGCTTTACTGGATCATTCATGCTGAAGTTGTTTCTGAGGTAATCTCCTTCGATTCCGGTGAAAAGGTGCTAATCTTTCGTCCGTCATATAACGAACATCATCAGAGCAAGGTATCATCGTCACAATCAAATACAAGCTAATTAGTCAAGAAAACTGACCGAAAAATCCATAAAAACTGGTATATAGACTCTACATCTGGCCCCATGATGGTGGAATCGACCTTCGAATCTCTTCATCGAACAATTTCACTCGAAATGGAAGTAAGCTCAACAATTAAGAAACAAGAGATTCCTCTAGACCCAACTTTTGTTTGCATATACTACTGTAACTACTTTCGAGTCTTAGGGTACTAGAGATCATTTAAGGTGAAGTAAAGAGTAGTAGTCAGGCCTCTACAGTAGGATTGTGTATGAGGAACCGAGGCGAAGTACTGCCCTTTTGCACTCACTCCTCAATTCCGAATCATTTGATGAAGCTAATTAGAAGTATATGAGTGACTCGTTTTTATTCAAGGTCTACTAATGGTTAATTAAACTACTTACTTAGTAGATCTGAGCCATTGCGAATGCCATATAGCCAGAATAATTATGCAAAATATGCAGCTGTATGGGAATTAACTAATATGCCCATATGAGATGTATTCACCCTATTTCGTTTAAGGTGATGAAGAACTGGTAGAAGAATTTTCCCACAATGATATGAGTAGAGCTGACGTTTCCATTAAATTTCACATAGCCTTGCTTTCCCAAAAGTTATTCCCATCCAGGGTGAACTGCAGTTTCGACCTCGCATCGATCTTATCAACATCCCCAGCGGGAGTCGAACCGTGACAGTGCAGCACGTGAGCTTGACGCGTTAACCACTCAGCCACATCGCCACGAACGCCCTTGGGTCACAGGACAGATGTGAATTTTAAGGAAGGCCAGGTTTTTTCCATATCACTTCGAAGAAAATGTGAATAGTGGATTTAATCTTTTATATAATTGCATACAACTTTCAAAATCCTTGATGTTTTTTTAAGCTTACTAATCTTAAAAGTTAATCAATTTAGAGATTAAGCACTCTTATGATAGGCAACAATTGTTAATTTAGTATAGTTGCTTAATGAATTTATTAAGTATGGATATAGAAGAGGCTAAACTTGCTTTGAAATTTAAGTCTGATCTGTACACAACTGGAATTCGTGATAATGCTGCGAAATGGTAATATGTCGAAATTATAGACCTCAATATGCAGATTCGATTCCCGTTTGGGGTGATGATGAGACCCAGGCTAAATCGAAATAGCAATCACCCTAGATAAAACTACATTTTGGGTAGCAAGGCATTGCTATCGTGGGGGCCACTGATATCATAGAGGGAAAAATTAACCATAATTCCTTCCTCACCTTTTGAGACTTTCAATGACTAAAACTCTTGTAGGAGAACTTAGTTAGCATAGGCCAATTCAAGTGATTTAAGCACTAACATTGGAGTTTTCCTATATTGAGATGTCTAAGCCTAACGATGTCTTACCGAAAATATAATTTTTATGCAGGATAATGCTTGTTTGCAAACTTAAAGGGTAAAACACAAATGTACCTTAAATGTAGGTCGTGAAGTCGTCACTAGTAAATCCTGATTAAGAGTCCGATCTGAAGGTGGTACAGGAATTGTTGAATGTCCGTGTCGGATGAAGCATATTCCAGAGGGCTGGTGGGGTGGGACTTCGGGATCAGGGGGACTTCCCTGCCACGCCTAGACACCAACATATAAAAATAAATTCAGAATTCGTGACTTTTTGCTAAAATAAAGATATATTAATATTATGGATGAGAAATGAATTTGTCTCTCCAAAACAATTGGCTTATGCTGTATTCATAATTTGGAGGTACAGCCGATGTTATTGATATGAATAGTAATTTAAACTCGAAAAGAGTAAGGGGATAAGAACTATGTTTGCTATATTTCACGGAAGGTGATGAAGGAGTGGTGGTTGAATATCCCTACAATTACATGCGTAGGTTTCACGATACCATCAGATTTCACATAGCCTTGTTTCCCAATAGGTATTTTCATTCAACCTTGACTAAAATTTCGACCTAGCCTAGGTCTAATCAGTACCCTCAGCAGAATTCTAACCCTAATTTTGGTAGTGCGACGTATAGTCTCGCAACACTAACCACTTTGCCACACTGCTACGAGTTCTATTTGGTCACAGAGCAGAAAAAGATTTCAAAAAAGGCCAGGCCTTTCCAATATCACTTTCTATAGAGGGATGATAGATAAAGCAAAGTTCTATTTGCTATTACACTCGATTACATTACTTTTTTTTTCAAGTAGGTTTTCGAGACTACAAGTAGATCTTGAATGTGAACTGTGTGAAATTCAATGGAAACGAGATTCCCACAAATATCATTGTGGGAAAATTAAACTACTTGTACTTGATCCTCTTAAACCAAATAGAGTAAATAAGAATAAGGGAAATATTGGTATTAAAACAGAAAACGTAGGTCGGAATAAGCCTTAACGATATAGAAGTGATCCAACATCGTTTTTACAAATCATTCGTGTTTTCAGGGCGGCATAGTTAGATGCACCTTGTTCGAAGTTTTCTGCTATATTAGTAATCAGAATTCCTAGCGTCAGACAATGGAATTAGTACATTTCATAACGTTTCGCCGGCTGTGACTGTCAGACTCTCAAAGTTATAGCTGTTTCTTCGAGCAGAATATACTCACTGAGAATGTCTTCGCTTGATCTTCAAACCTTACTTCCTTGCTTCTTCTTTGCAATCCCTTTCCTTCGGCTTATGTTGGGCCGTTGATATAAACATATCTTTTTTGTTGGTTTTGCATTATCCTTGTTTGTTCCACATTTGCTTAAGCATCAAGCAAAGTTATTGCTAATTCTGCCTTCTCCAAATCTCTCGTTCATTCAATTTCTTATTTTTCTTTTATGGCTAAGGCTTCGAGACTACCAGTAAATCATTTAAATGAAATGTTGTCGCGGTTCGACTCCCGCTGAGGGTGTTGACAAGACCGATGCGAGGTCGAAACTGCAGTCCACCCTAGAAGAGAACAACTTTTGGGAAAGAACGCAATGTGAAAGTCAATGGAAACGTCAGCTATACTCATATTATTGTGGGTAAATTCTACTACCAGTCCTTCATCACCTTAAACGAAATAGGATGAATAGATCTCATATATTATTTTAAGCCGATTCAGTTCATTGTCACAATGGCCTATATAGGCTACTCTTATGCTCCGAATAATTATAGATTTTAAAACCCAACCTTTGTTTTATAACTATGATTGAAGAAGAGGTTAAGAATAAAGCCAGCATGTGTCCTCGAAACAATAAGGAGGTTGTTAAATTTAGTACTATTTTTTATAGCAATAATAAAGTCATTAATTTATCCAGTATATCTATAGATTCTAATGTTACGCTCGTCCTGGAGAGGGGTTTAAACTTTTCATTTCCAAATGAGCAAAATCATTCTATAGATATACTGGTTGAGTTAATTAACTTAACGGACAAGCTGCCAGAAGAGTCTAATAATAGTATAGTATAGACCATAATAAGTGTAAGGAAAAAGAGCTGAATTTCAGAGACAGGAAAGCCCTCCGCTATTTCTCATACAACTTTTACTGCTTGCTTTACACGATAAATCTGACCAGCAAGAATATACTCACTATTCGTTTGCTATTCTACCACATACTCACATAAACAGTCAAATTATAGTGCAAAATAACACTACTGCCTTCGAAAGGTTCATGAACACACTATTAGGCCTTAAGAAGGTGTGTTATATGAAAATTCTTATCCAGAATGTATTGATAAATGCATGACTTTGTTAAAAATGAGTAACGTTTTAAATTCATATTGCGAGCATATTAGCAACAAATGGTTTATGATCTTACATTAATGACCTCTTCGGGCACACCTCCATTGTGCGGAGGTTCGGAATTTTCTGAACGATCTGAAGCATCGGAAATTGGTACATCTTCTAAGAAGACGGCTTGAGTTTGTGCATCAGAATATTCAGTTAAAGTTTGGGCAGGCACACTTTGATCGTGCAGCACAACGCTAGGATTCGTTTGAATTGACCGCTCGACGACAAACCGCGGATTTTCTTCCGAATTCACACGTGGCTTTAAAACAAGAAAGAGATATGATATTTAATGCCCTCAAGTGGCGTCCATAGGCAGAGAAGAAATATATATATTAGAGAATGCTACTCATAAAATGCTCTTTTATGACTCAGGATACGGTAACATATATTGTAGAAACAAAAGATAGATTATATGCTCATGATTAACCGAATTATCAGGTTCGGACATTCTTATCTGATTAAATTCCAACTACTTTTAAGATTATAAATTATATATGAAGAGAAGACTGGTTTTAAAGAATCCTCTAGCACATTAATACTGGAATACCTTTCATGAAGTTTGAGAAAATGGTTGCAAGGAATTCGTTAAATGGACACAACGGATACCAAAAGTAGTTGCTTCGGACTTGTAAATGCTGGACTGTGCGAAGAAGACCTCGGCTCATCATCCATTCATGCTGAGCTTTCTTCCGTCATGTGACGGGTATCTTCAGAGCCAGAAACCATTATTTACGAACAATTAGTAAACAACACTAAGCCAACCAAGTTGGCTGGCCTTTTATGTATGAATCATTAAGCCTCCCTCACATAGGCAGTAACACGAGCACAAAATCTTATAACAACCTGATATACAGATGGCGTTTGAAGAATCACTAAAAGACAGCATGTCCGAGGAAAATGTTAGTATTTCTTTAAACATGGCCCTGATATTACAGTACATTACTAATTCAGTCATCGTTCTTGAAAGCCGGCAGAATGGTATCATTAGGAACCTGGACGAAAAGTTGTCTAAGTTCGTGCTTTGTTCTGACTAATGGTTTCCTCTCACCGTATTTCTTTTTATTTCGAAAATGCTAACAATGAATCTTAAATTCCTGTTTCTTATAGCGACTCTTCCTTACCTGATGAAACACAGCATATAATGCGCCAGCCATTGATTGTAGCTTAATGAAAACCTCCGAATTAAGAGTGTCAGACAAAGAATGCCTGATACTGGCATACCCTTCTTTTCGTTTGGGAAGGCTGGTGGAAGAGATTCGTAGATTGGCCTCACTTTATACCGAAAGAGGGTTGCCTTGGGCTTTTGTTTGTTGAATTATGCGGAGAATACCTCGGCTCACCGTCCTACGACCCTAATGACGTCGTGCTGAGCTTTCGTCTGTCATGTGGCAAACATCATCAGGGCCAAAAAACCATTATTCACGAACAATCATCCAGAAAAACATAAACCAAGAAAGTTTTAGGTATTTGGTGATTGTTCGTGAATAATGGCTTTTGGCTCTGGTGATGTCTGTCACATGACGGACGAAAGCTCAGCACGGAGTCATTGGTGTCGTAGAACAGTGAGCCAAGGTATTCCTTGCATAATTCAATAGACCAAAGTCCAAAACAACCCTCCTTCAGTATCCGGTGGGGTCAAGCTACGAATCTCTTCCACCCGCTTTCCCAAACTAAATGAAAGTTATACCAGTATCAACCTACTAGAGGCGTCTTAGAAACCCAGCTTCTTTTCATATCAAAGATTGCCTGAGTCTAGCTTTTGTTGACCTTGAAGGTCAACTTGAAGGTTCTTAATAGCCAAAATCAAAGCATTACTGGCAAAATA